TCAATCAGCCCTCCCACGTGTTAATAACGACCTATTTGGAAAATCAAATACACAAGATTTATGCGCTATTTATGCGCTCTCATATTCACATATTATAGTTTTAATTTTTGCGCTGCATCCCTTAAGACACTTCCCTCTTGGAGCAAACAGTCATATTGGAAAATTATCCTTTCATAAAATATGAAATGACAAAGAAATTTCACAATATGAGTGAAGAATATCAGTTATCTTGTAAAACGCTCTGTACTTTGTATTTAGTTTGTAATTAATATTAATATTAGATTTAATAATTGTGTAGAATGACATACACATATATGTATAATATATATGTATGCTGCAAAATATTTATTATTATTGAAAAAAATTATTTTTCATAAAATTTCCAATCACTTTTTGAAAATTCGACAGATCTTGTAAAATAAAAAATTCGTATAAAATTATTCAATTGTAAATCTTGTTTTACATCAAAAACGCTATATGATGCGACTCTCATTTTATATGGAAAGTTTAAAACTCATGTAAAATCGGATTACAATTTAATTACAGTTCAATGCTTTGCAAAATACAGCACTTGAAAAAATATCCAAAAATCTAAAATCAAATTGTAAAATCAATATTGTAAATTATAATTGTCAGCGTTTTCAGAAAACCTAAACGTTCTAAAAAAAGATCTAATTTTAATATACTTGCAACATATGTAAAGTTTAACTTTAAAAACGATTTTACATTGTTTTAAAATTCTTCTTTCATTGTCTCCTTTTTCAATTACATTATATTTTTCCTCGTATTCTCTTATTATTTCATTCTATATATCACATAATAAGCTTAACGTTCATTTTCCATATATTATTGGAAACGGATATAAAAAATCCGACGCTATTTAATCTTATGAAGAAAGAGTTTAGCTATACAAGAAATTTAATTTAAAAAGAAAGTCAACTGGATATACGCAGAAGAAACCTTATACGTATATCCAGTCTACTATGGTATGTATGCATGAGAATGGAATAATCCACATATAATCGAAACGAATATATGGGACGAACAGATGTGCGAAGAAAATGCGGAAAATAAAAAGGAAATGTAAGTTTTATCCAGATTGGTGGAATTATTAACACGTTCAAATATAAAATGTTGCACATCAAGGATCAGCTTCAATCCAACTAGGGCAATTATTAAAGATCCAACATGGAGAAGGTACGACGGCATGACCTAGTAATGTGAGAAAACTTACTCAACTCCAGAGAGGACTTATGTGCAACCTTTATAGGAGTAGAAAATAATTCGACAGTATAGAGTGTGTGCAGTATCACGCGTTATAGTCGCGTGACAGTCATATTTCTAGAACAAAATTCGAAAAAGGAAAAGGAAATACTCTTGTTACGGAAAAGCGTGATCGTTAATTATTTCTATAGAAATTAAAATATTGTTTAAAATAACAATTTAATTAACGGCCACATCCCACGGATGAATAAATGATTAAGTACATTACATTACCGCGAGTCCCCGCGTTTATGATACAAATAGCAATCCCGTATGGAATTCGTTTGTAATACATGTGAACATACAGCATTTCAATTACGCATAAAATATTCTCTTTATACGATAGGAATTATAACGTCATATGCAAAGGACAATTGTTGTTACTGCGAAGAAGTGTACGTTTCAATAGATTTAATTTACAACTAAACAATTTTCTGATGTTTTTTAAAATTACCTCGTATTCTTAAAAGTCTCTCTCATAAAAAGTATATTTATATAAAAATCTTGAACTTTATATAGAAAAATATAGAATTTAAAAAAGAATAACTATGTTAATCTATAATATGAAGAAACATATCAAATTATTATATTCACAATCTTAATTTACAGAAGAAAATACACATAAGCATATTTGATATAAAAGAAATACACATTTAAGAAAAAAAGTTATTCCGGAAAACGTCAAGCTGTTCGACAAATCTGTTTGACAAATATCTCTCATAAATCTTTGTAAAAATTTGAACACGGGAAAGGCGGAAAATGCGGCAACGTCTTTCAGAGCTTAGAGGCTTCACGTGAATTAATGCGATCTAGTCCATCCTGATCTACGACAAAATCTTGTTAGTACACCTCACCGAGCGGCTGAAATTCACGTCTCCAACGACGTTACAAAGACAAACGTACGTAATTAAATGCTCACGTGAACGATATAACAAGCAGATATCGGAGAAGCGTGAACGGAATATTTTCCGCTGCTCCTAAATACGTCCTGAATTAATGATAGCAGGCTGATTCGCGACGAGATTCAATTAATACGCTTGAACAATCAGCTGGAACTCACCGCAACAAGAGTACGGACGAATACGCGACGCAATTTACATCACGATATGGATATATGATTCTAAAAATCACATCTTCCTATAAAATGTAATTTACTTATCTACAATCTATATATAACATTTTTATTTATTATAGATAATTACACTGATTTCAAAATAATTTTATAATCCTTTCATTGGAAAATATGATTAAAAACTACTTTCCATAAATAATTTTTCATAAATAATTTTCCACTTTTTAATTGTTATATAAAATATAACTGTTTATATGAAATGTTTTAATAATTACATGTCAAATTAAGATCATATTACTTGTACAAAATTATTATTATTTGAATAAAAGGTTCCAAAGTTATTGATGTACAATTATAAATTTGTTATTATTAAAAAGAAGAATAATAAATATTAAGATAAATATGTATGTGCTTCCATGAAAAATATTACATCTAAAAAACGTTTTATTGTTTTTATACACAATTACATGTCTATTACAAATATCTAAATTAGTTATTGATTAAATTATTAATTACTCATACACTTCTTTCTCCTTATACCAAATTTATTCGTGAATTTAAAAGCAAATTTAATTTTTTGATGAGTTTTAAATTATTTTTGTGTGTACACACGTTGTACATATCGTGAAAATGTAATAAAGTAATAAATACAATTTTATGTAACTATCAATTAATATGAAGTAATAAAACGCTTTCTTCTAATATAAATGACATGGGACTTTAATAACATTAACAAATTTTTTATTATTATTTAAATATCTAAGTATTTAAGGTACACAATTATAATATATTTTATATAAAAATATCTATAGTCACACACATGATTAAAATATTAAAATATGTTTCCTTATTTTATTAATTAATGCAGGAAATCGTCGAAAGTAAGCGTTGCCGAAAAAATCAAACCTTCTCCCCATGTAAATAAAAAGAGTGTCTCGTTTAAGTACTTCGACAGTCAATTAATACAGCATAGTAACGGTTCCGGCGTCTATCCGCTGGAAGCGCAATGTATTGTAATGACGGACGTCGATGTCAGAGGGTTTTACAAGGTGTGCCCAATAAAAGTTTCAGGACTTGTCGGATGGTACATCGAAAATCTCTCACTGAAGGAATGTAATGCACAGTTATTGATTGCCACGAACGTTAAGACCTCGAGAATTTCTTATAAATATTCTACAGAGTAACATTTTTTGCTTCTTATCCTCTATACACCATTTTGACAGTTATATCTATAGTCATTTTTCTCTTTCTCTCTCTCTCTTATGTTTTAAATAGGTAACTACGTCAAATTGAAATAAAAGAATATTAGTAATCGTAATCAATGATTATTCGATCTTAATTTTTAATCATTCTAAAAATATCATGAAACGTATTTTTATCGCATTTTTTATTTTATGTTTCATTACGTTTGATATTGTAATTGTTAACTTTAAGAATTTAAAGTAATATGATATTATTTTTAAAGGAAATAATATAATTTTATAAAATGTTTTAATTAAAAATAGCGTACCATAAAATATTTTAGTTTCATCGCATGCGTTTAAGAATTTTATAATAAGTTTCTATTACATTAATAATATCCTACTTTTGTTTAAAAATGCAATTATGTTTATCTAATATTTTAAATATAAAAAGTTTTCATGATACTTTTTACAATTCTCACGTTCATGAACAATTTTTCACTCGAATTATTTTTATTCCTAATTATATAGTTCTCTTATTCTTTGTTTCAATTATTCTTGAGATGTATAAATTTGGTTTGGTTCATTATTCAGCTTGTAACAAATACGTAACGTTTTAATGTACCAACGTATTCCTTTTCATGTTGATTTTGAACATAATCGTCAAATAGTATTTTTAAAAATCAAGTTTGACGAATGCTCAGATAAAGCTTTTTTTTTTTTTTAAGGAAAAGTGACGTCATCGGTCATGGTGATAGTCTCTCGCACAACGGCATTCAATACAACACGACACAGAAATTAAATAATACTGAATTGAAATGAAAAAAACGCTATGTTATGTTCCTCCAGAGATTGATTTAACAAGAATGATGATAGTTATTGTTCAGCAACCGGTCGAATGTAATTCAGATTTGACAAAAATTGATCTCCGAACAATTGATTGGCATTCGTGCCAATATCAATCTACGTTTTCTGTCCGCTTTGATTTCCCGTTTTATTCATTCAGTCCTAGAACTTTTTGGACACGCCTGGTGCGAGTAGCTCGAAATAATGGACGCGCGGCGCGGCGCGCGCGAAGAGATTATTTTAATTAATTGCCGCGCGTAGGCGGGCGCGTTCGAGCGACAATCATAAGGACTTTGAGAAAAAAAGGGGGGGAGGGGGGAGAGAAAGCCAGATCCCAGATTCGCGGAGTTGAGCGGATTCTGTCGATCGGTCAATTCGCGGGCGTGTTCAATTAGCGCGAACATCGAGCAAGAGGTATTACACCGTGAGAATTTTACCGCGGGAAATCTCGGAATGTCGTCCATCAAACGAACGCCGAAAATAACTTTAAACCGGAATGAAGGAAGAGATAGGACTAGGAGGAGGCCCGAGGCAACTACCTCACGCAGGATCCAATCTACGATCCACGATGTGGATCCGATCAATACAAGAGCGCAACGCGCCCATCGGATTCTGGCGAATCCGCGCGTGGAACTTACGTGTCGTGGCACGATGTCGCTGGATCGGATCGCTGGATCGGAGTTCCGCCGAAGATCGCACGGTACAATTGACATCATAGCGATTAATCCCTTCCACGTACGTGTATAAGTATGCGTAATTCTGGTACGTATCCCTCGGTGTGCTATGCCGTATCACTTTTTGACCGTACCATTTTGTCGCTTCTTCGTTATAACCTTCCCTTTTCGAACTTGACGATTATCACTCCGTCAGTTGAATTAAAACGGCCATGGCTTGTCGCGAAAGAGGGATAGAAAGATACGGCTTTCCTCGAGAGATAACGAGATAAGACACGACGTGCACGATCACCGAGAGCACAGATTCGACGCCGATCTCGTCGGGAATTGCACTGGCCGGTTCAGCCCTTTACTTCGTAGCGGAGGGGTGGCGGTATGAGAGAGCGCGTCGCGAGGGAGGGATAAACGGAATGGGAGGAAAAGGAAAGCGAGAGACAGGGCGCAGCGTGGGGACGACCAGCGTGGGAGAATGGAGAAAAGCAGGCGTGGGAGCGATGGCGGGAGGAGGGGGGAGGGGGGAGGATGAGAATATATATACCTACCTACCTACCTACATAGCATAGCATCGCCAGCATCCACAGTGGTGAAAACCACTGTGTGACTGTGGTACATTTCGTGGAGCTCTCACGAGGGACGACGAGCAACGACGGAAGCCGTGACGCGCGCGGGCGGATAGGGGGACGGATACACGACGAGGAGGAAAGCAAAAGAGGAAAAAAAAGACGAAACTGAGTAGGCGAACGAGATGGAGCCGGTGGCCTCTAGAAAATTAAAACAAAAAGCATAGGGAAGCAGCACGTCGTGTTGGAAACGGACTCGTACACACACCGACGCGTTCTCCTGCTTCCTCCCCTCCCCCACCCCCCGGACTATATCCGTCCTTCTTTCATCGCATCTTCTCGCTATGCATCCTTTCTCCCTTTTCTCCGTTCAACGGCGGAGGCACTTTTATTTCCCTTTATCGTTTATTATGAGTGGTACGTTACCCGCCGACACGCTCGTCCTCGAAAAAGACGTGCAAGAAGGTGTCGACGCGGGTTTTTTTTCCCCCTTTTCTCGCGCTTCCTCTAGCTTCCTTCGAACGTTCTCCTTTTGCGGCCTCGTTGTCGTAGAAAAGTCGAAAATTCATGCTGGGAACGTTGGTCCAACTGGTCGATATTGTTAAGCCCATGGCACATATATTAAAAAATTTAAGGCAGTGAGCAGTAAGGAAATTGTAACAATGGATTCGCTACTGGTCTTACGGTCTCTATTGCGATTGGCCAATTCGCTTACTGCCTTGTGTTTTTGTATGTGCCATAGGCTTTAGTCAATATTGGACTTATGTCCGCTTGTTTATCTGTTCCTTTGGATGCGATATCTCTTATTATTTATTCTTCTTTCTTATATCTTTGTATTATATTCGCTGTATTTTCAATGTGCATGGGTTAACAATGATGTTTAAGTAGTATTCAATTTCAAAATGTATTTTAATTAAACTTATAAATTAAAAATCTGAATAAAAAACAGTGTCTACGTATAAAAGATATACTAAACGTGTTTTAAAAATCTTCACATTAATGTCTTTAAGGTCACTAATTTTAAATCTGTATGCAATAAACATTTGAAAATTTAAAATAATAAATGAAATATAGTGTCCAAAATAACTAAAATTTTTGAAAACTTATTTATATTTAGCTGATATCTTATATTTGTGGTACATTTTGGAGACTCCTCGCTACTAATTCTCGTCATAAAGTCTAAGTTATATATAAAAACGAAATTTTTTCATTAAAAGGTAATAAAGATTCGATATTAGGTCTAAACTTACTATATTGATTCTTTTAATTATTTAAAATTCAATCAGTCTAAAAACCTTTATATACTTAATTAAAATTCAGCAAAATATATATTCCAAAAAAATGTATGCAACAAGGAATGAACAAGAGAGAGAGAGAGAGAGATCACAGTTATTGTTATATTATAATAATTAACCCATATCTATGTATGAACAAAATTTGACAATGTCATGAATTTATGATTGTAACATTCATGTATAAGAATAACATTGCAGGATACTTTCATATATGCACACGTATAATATTGTATATGTTCAATTATTACGGTAACTATTATCGTTATGAAATGATTAAAGAGTTTAAAGATAGAATCACACGATTTCATCAATTTCTTGAAAGATAAGCATGCATGCATGTTGCTATGTTTGCTTTGATGCATACAATCTTACGTTTAACAAATAATAATAAAATTAGCAATTGTTTCTTTTGAGATTGGTGTATGTAAGGAAATAAACTCTCTCTCTCTCTATAAAATAATCCATAATAATAAACGTGTATATTAGAGTTCCTATGACGCCAAACCGCCAAACCATATACATCCAAATTAACGTTCATAATACTGATTTTGTTAGATGTAAATTGGCTACTATGACACACATGACATGTGACATACGTCATGACACATGACACAAGTATTAATAATGTCGCTGTAAAATAAAAACGCGCCATTCTTGGGTAAAGTTAGGAATGACGTTGATAAAGCAATTATAAAAGTGTTGCAGGTACGTTTAAATACAAAATTTAATTGTGTCAAATACGGAATATTTGAAACTTGCGCTTGTCTTGGCTATTGTATATAACGGATTTAGGCAACCAATCAAAAATCATTACCTCGGTGACGTAATTCTTACATGACGCTGCGCTTTGTCTTAGCACCGAGACACTACCGTATCTCCTAATTCCTAATTATAGGAACTCTAATGCATGTCAGCATGTAGCGCTCAATGCACCAATTCTAGCATACGTCAGAGCAGGCATGACTGCGTACAAGTTTGTAATTCAAAAAATCGAGCACTGTATAATTATATTTTAACGTTATAATTAACTTGTACCAAACTATGCTTTAATTCCTTGCGTTATCATTAAGTCAGACAAACAAAACATGTTGCAGTCTGTCATGGATCTCTAGCGAGCGTATTACTTCATTTGCGTCACTTTATTACTTTCTCAAGTTTATGTACATTTTCTTTCTACCGTCTCTCGCCGGCAAACTTCTTAATCAGCAGGAAGTTCAAGGTGGAGAATTCATACGCTCAAGCAAAACTGTCTTCACTCGTACGTCATTGAGAATTCTTCTGCGCGCTTCATATTGCGGAAAGAATCTCGGGCGCGAGCGCGAGATAAATCGAGTTTTCGAACGCGAGTACGCCGAAGGAGAGGCAAGGGGACAGGATCTTATTGAAGATAGGTGTGTTCTTAGTGGACGAGAGCGATTTATCCGCTATTTCTCACGAGATTTATCTACCCATTCTTTAATCCTTTTCCGACCCGCCCGCCTACTGTGCCGCGCTGAGAAACTACTGTTTTTTTTTTTTTTTTTAATCGACTTCAAACTATTTTTTTTCGCACCACTCTTTGTGCTATAGGTGGAGATTTTTCGCGCGCGTTTGTGATAAATCGAAGTCGTAGAAACGGAAACGAATGGAAACGAATGGAAGAAAAAGCATGAAGGTAGATCTCATCTTATTGCGAACGTATAAACGCTCAGAACGTGTGCGACTCTTCCGCCATTTCTCGCGAAACTCTCTATCGTCTTTTTAATTCTTCTGTCGACTGTTGGAAATAAAATCGAATCGAGAACGGCGCGCATAGGAACTAACCAGACGGATTTTATCGGGCGTCACACGCTTCAGCGAAGATTTCGTACGTATTGTAAACTGAGCTTAATCCATTCATGCGTTTCTTCTCTGTGCAAGATAATACCGTTTTCATTCTTGCAAACAGAATATGGAGATGGCAAATATTCGGATGGAGGAAGATGACGTTGACTTTGATATATGTTGTCAAGGTCATAATCCTAAGTAATCTCCAACAGGTTTTCGTCGTTGTTCCGAAAAAGTTATTAACAAAAGTTTGAAAAATAACATTTTATTTTTGCCATATAATATTAAGAACTATCCTCTCACCTTTTCGTGCTTAAGTAATGACTTTCCACGCGAAACGAAGTTCACTCCCATTTCTCCCTTGCCTAGGGGTGCACGACTTTCCACGCAAAGCGAGATCCATCCCAACAGGGTGGACGGGGGGAGGGGGGGACAAGGGGAGGGGCAGGGGAAGGGCAGAGGGGAGAAAGGTAGAGTGAACTTCGCTTTACGTGGAAAGTCATTATACTCTATAAGTAAGGGATGTAAGGTAGTATTTAATGCTGTGTATACTAGAAATAAGATAATTTTTTAAACTTCTTTTATTAATTTAATTTTTTAACAAAAAAACAAGGAGAGATGGCTGAATAACCTGTTGGATCAGGTTGGATCAGGTTACTCAGGGTCATGACCTTAAGAGATCATATACGTTTCTCAGCTTGAAAAAATCGATTTTTGTTACTTATTTTAAAAGGTACGTATCTTAGAAACATTTTAAGACCAGAACGAGCTCGATATTCGAATTATTGACGAAATTACAGCTGCTTTAACGAAACTAATCAGGTCGCTCCGCAGATCAGAATTCTAACTGGTTACCAGTAGGGTGCATTGTCGTTGAAATAAAAGAAAAGGAGAGAGAAAACTATTGTATACCTTGTTGGTGCAGGCATCGCTGATTAAGTGTAAATAAAAATTTTTTTATTTTATCCTATTTAAAAACTCTTGCAAAACTTTAAACGCGTTTTTCTCGAAATAGCATTTTTCAGAACGGTAGGCATGATAACTGCCTCACCGTTCGTCCGATTAACTTTATTTTTGGTATACGTATTCTAAATTAGATTTACTATCATGTCACGAGAGCTTTTTTGAATAAATTTAACCATTTTCGAATAGTAATAAAAAATAGACAACTTTTTGGTGAAAATTATGACTTTGCTTCAGATTATGACCATTTCCGTAATGTTTTGTTTTTCTTAAATTCCTCCGGTCACATGATAACTATAATTCTAAAAAATGATGAAAAATAAAAAACTTTTGTTTTAGATAAGTATAACGAGCTGAATCATGCCCACCGTTTGACCCGATAAAAAAACACGTTCTACGCCACTAGACGCAGCCGCCATGTTTTTGATTATTTTTTAGCTCATGTACACGTTTTATGCTCCTTAAGAGTCCACCTTTAAAATAAAAAGAAATGAAATCAATTAGTCCAATAATTTTCTTACAATTTTTTATCATTTTGACTACTTTTCAAGTTCGAGAAACGTATATGACGTAACATGTTTCAAGGTCAAGGTCATCGACGCTGATTCCCTCTCCATCTGAATATTTATCACGAAAGAATCTGGCAGAAAAAAAGCGTCGCTCTGTCCCGCAAACCGACATATTAATAGTT